GGTATATTTGTAGCAATAGAGAAAAAATACATTGTATGGGTCAAAATTATCGATTTTTCTTTTATGCCAAAAATAATTAGAATATTAAGTAAAGATCATATTCCATGAAGATATTTTGTAAATTTCCTACTGTAAATATATCAAACCTTAATTTTTGGTTAGTAATATGCATTGCTAAGGACTTCATTTGGACAACTTTAAAGGCAATTTTCTCAATATTTAGATTTTTTTGCACTCTCAGATTCCAGATTTTCAAATAGTTGTATCTCGGTCAAATATTGTCCTATCCTAACAAACCATACATCAATGGAAAGCTTATTTATTAAATAAAATGTATTTATAAAATTGACCCTTATGACTGGTTTTGTGGTCCAGGGTCACAATTAATTTATTTATTTTTTGCAGTGCGATATTTTAAGTTGAGAAGAAATTTATCCATTTGGGAGAAAAGCTCTGATTGGGGAATTTAAAATCTTAACATCTGGCAACCCCAGGGATGAAAGCCTCTATGCAAGATAATGGCAATGCCAAATGGGCAAATTCTTTTATTTTTTTAATATTAAAAATATAGTATAGAATAATAATTATTAATTGATCATAAGCAGCCATAATCTTAATCACAAATTACAATTCGTGCATCGCTAGTTTTTACAGTCATACCTTGGAATTTAAGGAGAGGATGCAGTTTTTGCCTGGTGGCTCATAAAATAGAAAAAAAATCAACTTTTACTGATATTGTAGCTATTTTGTATTAATGTTGATAGTAAACTGAATCCTCATTTCCAACAGGTAACTCCATGTGACCAATCAAAACTACTCTAACTTCTATTTATACTATTTCTGTGCTTGGCTCCAGCTGCATTTTTATAATTTTATTTAAAGGGGTGGTTCATTGCGATTTCACTTTTTTAACATTAGTTAGTGTGTGATGTTGCTGTTTGAGCATAACCAATATCTGCAAAGTTAGAAGCTGAAAGAACAACAAGCAAAAAACATAGGCCTACCATTAAAAGCCGTGCTTGCACAGGTTCTGCACGATCCTCTTCAATAATATCTTCTGCTTCTCAATCGGGCTCAAACTGAGAAGCAATATTAACGACGCCTCTGTTTACAATACAACCGGAGTACATGAGGTGAGGGGAGGGACGTTAAGAAGTGCACTAGAGACCGTTTAGCCAATCACAACACATTGGGCTAGCTAACCAATCCGAGCCCATCGCCTATTTCTGAGGGAGGGGCTTCATAAAAGAAGAAAATTGATCAGCCCGTTTCTCAGAGAAGCGACAGAGCGGTGTGAAATTAAGGTAAATTATGTGGAAAATAATGCGTTTTTTAAAAAAACGAAGCATTAACATGTTAGACTTCACCCCATAAACACAATCAAGCCTAGAAAACAACCACTGAACCACCCCTTTAAGGAGAGTCTGAGTTTACTGAATGTTCTTTTTCCCTCAGGTTATTATGGCAACAAACCGTATTGACATTCTGGACTCTGCGCTTCTTCGACCAGGCCGCATTGACAGGAAGATTGAATTTCCCCCTCCCAATGAAGAGGTAGGCTGGAATTGTTATATATTTTTAGTATAGTAATAAAGTCAGTATCAACTTTATTCTGAAATAGACTCTCTATTATTGAAAGTATAAATAGAAGCACTAACCATGTGGCGTTTATGTTGTTCTCCTCAGGCCCGTTTGGACATTCTGAAGATCCACTCCCGGAAGATGAACCTGACGCGTGGTATTAACCTGCGCAAGATTGCCGAGCTGATGCCAGGAGCGTCTGGTGCTGAGGTCAAGGTGAGGTCACAGTCTCAACCTGCGCATATTTCCAGGCATTTATGGCCGTCTATACACTACGTATTCAACAAGCTGATTTTATTTGTGCTTGTCTGACAGGGTGTCTGCACAGAGGCAGGGATGTATGCCCTGAGAGAGAGGAGAGTCCACGTTACCCAAGAAGATTTCGAAATGGCAGTAGCTAAGGTACTAAAATCATTTTCTTATTTGTGACCCTGGATCAGCAAATAGCCAACAATACATTGTATGGGTCAAAATTATCGATTGTTCTTTTATGCCAAAAATCATTCGGATTTTAAGTAAAGATCATGTTCCATGAAGATACTTTGTATATTTCCTACCGTAAATATATCAAAACTTAATTTTTGATTAGTAATATGCATAGCTAAGGACTTCATTTGGACAACTTTAAAGGTGATTTTCTCTATTTCGATTTTTTTTTTTTTTTTTTTGCACCCTCAGATTCCAGATTTTCAAATAGTTGTATCTCAACCAAATATTGTCCTATCCTAACAAACCATACGTCAACGGAAAACTTATTTATTCAGCTTTCAGAGGATTTATAAATCCCAATTTCAAAAAATTGGCCCTTATGACTGGTTTTGTGGTCCAGGGTCACATTTGATTGTGCTCTTGGTACAAATTATATTCAAACATACCAGTTCTTATTATGGGAACATACTTGTTTTCAGTGGATATCTCTAATTTACAATTTGTTGAATGTTTACAGGTGATGCAGAAAGACAGTGAGAAGAACATGTCCATCAAGAAACTCTGGAAGTAAACATTACAAAGTAATCTGCATTCTTTTTTTGTGTGTCTTTAAGTTGCTTTGTCACCCAAATGTATTCAAAATAAATTGTTTCTCACTTAGAACGATCTGTTTTTCTTTCCACTTTATAAAAATAAATCATAGAAATGCACTTACATTAACAAATGTTGATTGTCACATAGAGCTCCACTGCATAAATTTTAAGACAAAGGACAAGATACAAAGCACAGAATCACTGAACTGAAAGTAACCTCTACTTGAATTAGAATGTTTTTGGAAGCTTTGTACCTACATTTCATGATTATGAGTATGCATTCGTCATGATTTAGTTTGTTTCTGCTCTCTCTGGGACATCTTTGTTGGAATGATGCATTTGCTGGGTTTCATATGAAAGCATCTATGCATTTCAGAGAAGAGGAAACTTCACATTTAAAAGAGCTCTTTCACTTAATTGGTCTGAATTGTCGTTAGTCCAATGCTAGTTTTATGGTAAAACATTGACTATTTGTTCTAAAATGCCATTTCATTAAAATGAACTCAAAATTGTGTAAATCAGTTATTAAAACACATTTTAATTTTCGCATAGAGCAACAGAAATGTTCTCCCCTTTGTTTTCAGATTTTAAAAAGGGGCAATATTGATTGCACAATAACTAAAGCATTTTGGGAAAAGAAGTCTCCTTTAAAGGGGTAGTTCACCCAAAAATGAAAATTTGATGTTTATCTGCTTACCCCCAGGGCATCCAAGATGTAGGTGATTTTGTTTCTTCAGTAGAACACAAACAAAGATTTTTAACTCAAACCGTTGTAGTCTATCAGTCGTATAATGGCAGTCAATGGGCTCCACGGCTTCGAGAGTAAACAAAACGTACACCGACAAAACCAAATTAAACCCTGCGGCTCGTGACGATACATTGAAGTCTTCAAGACACGAAACGATCGGTCTGTGCAAGAAACTGACCAGTATTTATATAATTTTTTACCTCTGATCCACCGCAATGTCTGAGCACGTTCACAACATCCGGCGTGTGACTCGTGTACGTGCCCCCCATTTTGGAACGTATAGAAACCCATAGAAGCCCATAGAAACGGTCACTAATGAGGCATCTACTTATATCAACGTATTATAGGGAATCTATATATGTCTATGGTAGTAGACGCATGTGCGGAAGTGATTTGTCGCGCGTATACGTCACTCATTATTTACACAGTGCAGAGTGATTGCGGACGTGTTCACTGGCACTGCGATGATCTAAAGATATTTAGAAGTACAGGTCATCACAATGGAAGATGATTTTTATATTTCATCAGACAACGTGGAATTTTTTGCCCAATCGTATTTATTTGACGTCACGCGCCGGATGTTGTGAACGCGCTCAGGACTGCCATTATATGACTGACAGACTGCAACGGTTTGAGTTAAAAATCTTCGTTTGTGTTCTTCTGAAGAAACAAAGTCAGATAAACATCACATTTTCATTTTTGGGTGAATTATCCTTTTAACTATAATACTTAAAGGGGTCCTATTATGCTCTTTTACAAAGTCTTGATTTTGTTTTGGGGGTGTACTAGAACATGCTCTCCATGCTTGGTGGTTCAAAAAACGCATTATTTTCCTAATTTAAATTATTAAAATACCTTTCTCCCCAGGCTGGCACAAACGGCTCGATTAGTTCCGGCTTCGATGAAGGTCCGCCTTCCGAAAAACAAAATGTGTTGTGATTGGTTAGCTGTCCCAGTGCGTCTTTCCACAAAAGCTTTTTGGGGCGAATCCGGCACTGTACTCCCTCATGTTGTGGAAGCTGTCCTCACTCAAATGCGCAGCACACAATAGCAAATTGGGGTTATAATGCTCAGGAACAGAGTTAAAAAATTAATTGCAACCACTGTTTCCTGACATCATCCGCTTTCGGAAGCCCAGACAAAGACGTTTGAGCACGGAGGTGAAAAAAACAGCGTTTCAGGTGGTCGTGCACCGGACGAGAAGCGCAGCGTCGCATCGCGCCACGTCTTTAAAATTAAAATACTTTATTTTCTGTGAGTGTAGGCACACAAGCGGCACCTGTCCGCGGCGCCCAGCTACATCGTGTTATACTTGTAAGTATTGTTCTAGACATTTGAAGCTACAGCACAGCAGCTCTTCTTGGTTTTCTCTGATGTACTAACTCAACCTAACATTCTAACCACAACCTCGCCCCTCCCCACCCCCCCCAACCATTCGAATTTCTTTAATGATATTCCAATGAGCCGCTTTGTGATA